CGCGGTGATTTCACTTATATTATGTCTTGAGCAATTCAGTTCTATATTAGTAGTTGTAGCCATTGCGGCGTGAACGACGTCTATAACTGTGGGAGAATGTGTCGGCGTGGACGCGCATTGTCTACACCGGGCGTAGTTGCGCCTGATTGTAATTTCAGTTGGTGCAACAGGTGTAAATATTTATCGTAAAGCAGGACGTTGCAAAGCCCAGCGTAGGGCTTACACCCAGCGTTTTTACGTCTAGCTGGTGCAACCGGCCCCTGTAGTTTTTTGTGTTGTATTTAGAAGATTTGCTGCCCACATCACATTCTTTAAAAGGAATGCAGATGTTACCAGGTAAACAAAGGTGGCTTAGTTTTGTTACGTCCACCTTTACTGTCTGTCACCACTTTGTGTAGAATAAAAGCAGACTGGGTGACTTTCTCTTTAAAGTAAACCTATACAAACAATGCATGGAATTTCCCTGAATAATAATCAGGCACTTGCTTTGGGCCTTTGATTCAGGTGCTCTGATAGCGTTCAAAGGGACTGGAAATGCTAAGCAGGATCTGAGGCCCCAGTGGCCCCCCTCTCTCTCTCTCTCTCTGTCTCGGTCTCTTTTTCCATCAGCTGGCATCTGTGTGCCAGGTAGGAATTCACTTCAGCTATTGATGTCATCCACATCGCACCACAAGCTCACTGTTTTTATCACACCCCCACGGGACCAGAACATGCGCTAAATTACTCAGGACTGCATTCAACCTGGGAATCTACGCCTGGAAATGTGTTGATCTGCCGGGCTGCTTAGTCTCAGTGTGTAGCAGTATACATGTAGCTGCAGTTTATGACTGCAGGGTGGGCAACATACCTTAAAAAAAAAAAATAAATAAAAAAAATAAAATATATATATATATATTTAACAATATAGGCCTAATAGGACATTATATCCTCAGACACTGGAATTTCCTGGAAATAATTTTTTATGAGACCTGGAAAAGCTGTGCATATAAATAAATCTTAAAAATAATGGAAAAGTCATTGATGTTTCTATAGTAAATTCTATGTTAAATTGTTCATGTTATTGTTCTACTTAAAAATTTAAATATTGAAAATATGACTGCACAGTAGGAAAAAATAAATAAAAAAAATAAAATATATATATATATATTTAACAATATAGGCCTAATAGGACATTATATCCTCAGACACTGGAATTTCCTGGAAATAATTTTTTATGAGACCTGGAAAAGCTGTGCATATAAATAAATCTTAAAAATAATGGAAAAGTCATTGATGTTTCTATAGTAAATTCTATAGTTAAATTGTTCATGTTATGTTCTACTTTAAAAATTTAAATATTGAAAATATGACTGCACAGTAGGCTTATTTATTTGTCTAGCCAATGTTTAGGCCATCAGCCTCAAGGTATAGTAAATATTGGTATATGTATTTTAAAATATTTGTATACATATTTACTAGTGTATTAATTCATTTTAAATGATACCTGACATAGACATTGAAAACTGCTCCTGAAATTTTTCATCATAATAGTGTTGTCAAAAGACCCGGTACTTCGGTACCAAGTCGGTACTAAAAAAATGAAAACGTTACGGTACCAGGATTTTTTAAGTACCGGTGGTACCGAGTACCCGGTCAACCCGGTTCTTGATGCGCTATCCGAAAGGTGCGCAGATGCACTCTCTTCATGAAAGTATAGTCAAATTTTTTAATTAGCATGTTTTTGTGTTTTGCTTTGGTACCGAAATTGGTACCGAGAACCATGGATTTTCACTGGTATTGGTACCGAATACTGAAATGTTGGTACCGTGACAACACTACATCATAATAATCATAAATGGCTGCAAAAATTACTTTTGTGTATTTTTTGCATAGTATTTAAGTATTTCATAGTTTCATTTCATCAAATTTTGTGGAAACCCTATAATATATTTTTAGTAATTTATTTTTAAATCTGTAAAATCACACATAATCTTTTGTAAACATTTTTAGGTGACTAAAAAACAAATCACTTCACAAAATATTTCTGCGATATTCACAACATTGGTTAAAATGATATATCAACAAGAAAATATTAATATATCATGGATGTTTTATATGCATCATCCATCCCTGCATCATTGAAAGTCTTCACTGAGATAAAGATCTTGTAGCCCTTTCCACCTTGTCATAAAGAATACCGGCCACTCTAGTACAGGCCAACCTGTTTCATGTGAGCACCTAACGATATTATCCCTGATAAAAATACCCTGTAATCTGATAATGCCTCTGCTTGTGTTGACATCTGTGTGTTTTTTACAGTGCCATCTTCACATTTTCTCCTCTAGATCTGCATTCTTCCCCTGCGTATAGACCTTTAAACATAATGTTATCGTATTGACCAGCCTTACGCTCGGGGCTGGTTTTACTTCTCTTGAACAGTGTGTTGTTGTTTTGTCATCAGGGTATTTTTTGGAGTTGCAGGCAGAGTATTTTTGAGGAGATGCAGAAGAGGTTCTCACAGGTT